GCAACAAGTTGCATACTGCTCATGTTTGCTTATGTGATCAAATTGGTGACTTGTTCACCAAAGCACTTGGGAAAGCTCAGTTCCGCCATTTGTTGAGCAAGCTGGGCATTCCTAATCTCCATGCTCCAACTGGAGGAGGAATGTTGAGATATTCAAACATAGAGCTATATATATTGTTACCATATATGTTTCTGTCATGATGTAATTGTAGTAGTTTTAGCTTTCCATTACATGATTTTAGGAATGATTGTACCTTCCCATTTTGTCACAATTCTTGTATCTGTATATAAGCAAACTACTGCAATTAGTAATAGATACTAGAAGTTTTCCCTAATTTAAACACTTTTCTTCAGATTATCTAACCATCTCATAAGCCTATCTGTCTCAAGCTGGTTATTTTTAATACCGTTGAAGTTGATCAGAGGTCCTAATGGATAGACTGCAGGAATCTTCTCATTGCTCTCGAGGGACTTGATTGCATAGGATTCTAAGTCGAGAAATGTGTTAATCATGATTCCCTTGGTCTCACCAATACGTTTTCTGGTGAGTTTGAGGCTTGCACCTTCCTTGTCAAAAACTGATGTAGGGAATTGTTTACCTAGAATAGGGTTGATATGAGTTGAGACAGAAACCTCGTTCTCTAAGTCTTTGTACTGTGTTACATCTTGGTTGTTGTCATCAACAAGAGTCTAGACATAAAGTCTTAAGGCCTAGAATAGCTACACCAAATGTACAGAAAACATAGGTAGGGACCTCAAATTCATTGGCCACATCAATCATGGTTGTGCATTGCATATCCATGACAAATCCTATGATTCTTGATGAGCCAGACTTTTTCAGTTGAGCAATGAAATGCCTAACACTAGGTTTTTGTTTATCTCTCTATCTAGAATAAAAGGTGACAGGGTTCTCCAGTTCCTTAGATAACTCGGCGTGTAATTCTGGCTGTGGAAATTTAACGAGCTATACGCCTTAGGTGGTTTCTGTGAAGAGTGATTCAATGTATGAATTTGCATTGGCATCATATGGCAGTTTGAAAATGAGGATTCGAATGGAGCGTTCCTCACTTCGACTTACAAGTAGCATTGATAACTGCACTATAGATGCCAAGTGACCTATAGCTGGCAAAGGAATGAAAAGCAGCTCTAGTTTCATCATATCAAATTCTAGAAAGTTGAATCTATCTCTATAGATTTCCAATTGATGATGTTTTCTTTCTGGGATGTTTATAAGTATCTTGAAATGAAATTGAAGTCATATCTGAATAAAGTTTAATAGTGGAAACAAACTCATGGCTTTGCTGGCTATGTCTTGTAGGCGAAAGAGTTAGCCAACAACCTTAATGATTGTTAAATAAGTATGACACATTTTTTCCTGCTATTTTCTTCTTCTACTTTTCCTTCTTCTTTTTCTTATTTGTGCTCAAGTCTTCAAGACAAAGATTCTGCTACTTTTCATTCTCTGTTTTTGTTTGAACATTTGATTAAAGTAGAACAGTCAAGGATAAGTTTAACAACTTTGAATAAATAAGCATTGCAATGATAGAAGGGAAGGATTATAAGTTACTAACAAATGCAAAGAAATCTATAGATTATAAGCCGTCCCTCAATTCTATCTTTGCTATACTCATTTATTCAAAGGTGTTAAACTTATCCTTGACCATCCATCTTTAAACAAATGTTAAAGGGAGAACAAAGAATGAAAAGTGGCAGAATCTTCATCTTGAAAACTTGAGCAGCAAATAAAGGAAAAAAAAGAAGAAGAAAACAACAGGAAAAATGTGTCATGCTTGTTTGATAAACATTATGATTGTTGAGCTTCTTCCTTGGTTATAATTTTTATTTTTACTTAATTTCATTTATCGATCCCTCCTGTCTAGTAACTTCCAACTATATCTCCCCCTAATAAAGTTGATTAGATATTGTATTTGTGATACAATATTATATTTTGGGCATGTATAAGATCAAAGGCTAGCCTCAGAATTAACTAAATATAGTTGTAATGATTTTACTATGGTATTACTAATATATCTGCTTTTGCAGCCAACAAAAGTTATGCCAGATGATCATAAAGGCTTCCACTTATTATAGCTAAAAAAGTATTACAGTTAGGTGGTTTAGATTAAAACTGCGTAAGGTAAAGATCATCAAACCATTGTTACCAAAATTTGACAAAGAACTGTGTGTTGCTGGAGGATTCCATGGTATACCAAAAATATTGGCAGAGATGAATGTGCTAGGTTGGCTGTTGGTGTTTATATCCTCAAGACATAGAGGTTTCCGGTTCAAATTCCCCTTCTTGCTCCTCACTCCCACCACTTCCTTGGTGGAAAAAATTTAAAAACAAACATGTAGATACATTTGGTGCAGAAGTCTTCTCATTTCCATGAAACATAGAAGAGAAACTATGGTTTGAGCAAGGGATAGCAAAATTACAACTTACACACGCACAAAACTCTCCAAACTATATTCTTATTAACAATGCAATAAACTATAATATTTCTATTTTGGAACACAACGTATGGCAAAGTAAGGATGGTCCATGGCCTCCATAGATATCATCACATCTAGATTTCTGTAAACTAATGTTCTCTCAACATCAGGATTCCACATGAATTCAATTAGGAAAAGAAAATAAGTAAAGACTAAAGAGCTTTATATTACAAAAGACATAAATAATAATCCATACAAATCCTATTAAAAAGCAAAAATAAAATTATATCACTTTGCACCCCTCCAAAATATGATTGTTAATAGTTCGTTTGATTATTTTCCCTGATTTCCTTTTATAAAAGTGTTCTATACAAAATTAACTATTTGTTTCCTTATAAAAGTATACTACTAGTATCATGGTTATTAAAATCGATTAGGCCTAATGGTTGAACCGTTTGGCCAATGAACCATTATTAGGTCAGGCAGGATCTCTAGTTTAATCACATAAATAGTTGATTTGGTCAAACCCATTTGACCTGCTGGTTCAATTAGAAACCAGTATGATTTTTTTATTGACTTTGTTTAAAACAATTGTGGGTCTTTATTTTTGAAACTAAGTGTATATATGCTTTTGACAAGATTTGAACATTGGATCTTTGTTTAAATGTGCATAATACTTTATCAGTTGCCTAGTTTATTTGATAACTCAATATTTCTTTAAATAAACTTGTTTATTTTTTTATTATACAATAAATCCTTTTAACTTTCAAACTAAAAATGTTATCGTCATGTGACAATATTTGAATAGTTAAAAATATTTTATTATTAAACAAGAATAAAATAATAAAAAATTGATGTTGTATCCTTGAAAGTAAGTGACATAATTTTGTTTGATACTTGACTATTCAATTTATTTGTGTAAAAGAATGTAAAAAAGTGAAACGAAGTATTCTATTAATATTTATATGTTCATTATATGCCTTCATAAGTACAATATTTAGTATCTAAAAGCACTTTATTAGATATATTACATATAATAAAATTACTATTTTGCATTTATAAATAGTATTATTCGAGTAACCCACTAGTTCAACCACACTACAAGAAATTTGGCCTTTTGTGACAACATTCTCAGTGATAACGGAAAAACTTGTCACAATTGAGCAAATTCAGTGACGACTTTTGATGTTGTCATAGTTGACTGAGGGTAGACTCTCATCAGTGACAACACAGGATTAGTCGTCACAATATGAATGGCGCGCAACTAGCCGGTGTGGCGGGAAATCACCATTGTGATGACTTGCAAAAACGTTGTCACTGACATGGGGCCTACAATGACTACTTACAATGTCGTCACAATGTGATTACCGATTCAGAGTTAGTGACAACAATTAGTCGTCACTGTCTAAAGTATTTGTTCGTAGCTCACTTTCATTAATTCTACTATGCCACCCTAATTTTTCAATATGGCCCCAAATGTTGTAAATAAATTTTATTAATTCTATTATGACACCCTAACTTTTACATTTTAGCCCTATATGTAGTAAACTAATTCCATTAAGTCTACCATGACACCTTATCTTTTGCAATTTAGCCTCGTATGTGATAAAGTAATTTCAAAAATTTTATTATGGCATCCTATCCTTTACAATTTGGCCTATGTTTTTCATTAGCAAAATGAGGAAGGCACTATAATAAAAAATGTATGCATATTTTATAATTGTTCCAAACTCAATTAATAACTTGTTATGAAGGTAAAAATATCATAGATTCCTTATCTAGTTCTCTTGACAACACATGAAAAATTAGTGATTAGCATAGTATGAAAATGATGGCAAAGAACAGTAAAATTTAATATGAAATTAATTAAAATCCTCACAATTGAATGACTAGAGTTTATTATTAATTACAATAGTCAAATTGTTTATGGTTTTATGAATCGGTACTTGTATCAAATACATGTAGTGTTTCATGCATGTATTAGCAAACTGTTTTGGTTATTTGATCAACTAAACTAATTGTTAGGTCTTGTCAGACCACAATTTGTACATAATTGATATTATTAAATTGATACAAAAAATATTTGCATTAAAAGATTTTTGTTGAATCATAAACATATATGTAACAAGCTTTTTAGTTTTTGAACATTATTTTTTCGTAGAGATCCAAAAAAAATCCTATGTTAGTAAAAAAAATTATCCAAAAACACTAAATTTTCATATTCTAAAATTTTAATATAACAAATAAAGTTTTAATATAGCTTGTGAGCTAAAAAAGCTTAAAATAATAAACAATTTTAATTACACATAGATGGGAAAAAAAGAGAAATATTAGAAAAGGCGTTATTTTTGTGAAGAAAGGTTCAAATTGTTGAAACTGTTATTTTTTGGCTAATGCCAAAATGGAAGCGGGAAGCTGAAAATTGAAGGAGAAGAGGCGGGTAAACAAAAGAAGTAGAAACGACGTCGTTTTAGCAAGAGTTCAACAATAACACCATAACACCTAGAAAAATTTTGGACAAAACTTGCTTTCCCCTTTCTTGCCAACTTTTGGACACTACATCTTCTCCTTCTCTCCACTATCATCTTGCTGAAATTATCCAGAAAATCATTTTAACCCACCATTTTCATCCGTAATTTGAGTTGCCCAAAAGATTTGGGCAGCTTTAGTGGAGTTGTAGATAGCAAAAATCCCTAATTCGAGGCAGGCAAGAACACAGAAAATTGACCATGAATTTTAGAGGAAAGCCAGAGTTTGAAGACTGAATCTTAAGGAAAACAAGAGTTAAGGTTGTCACGGCATAATTTGAGGTAAATAATCTATTACATTTATCCATCTAATTTCAATATTTTCTGTCAAATGTAGGTCAAGTAAGCTAAATCTTGAGTTTATGGGCCCAATCTTCCACTTTAATCTTTCAATGGTGAGAGATTGAGAGAGTTGTGAGAGTGACACGAAGTGGAAGGGCAGCTATCCTTTGTGAAACGAATTGTCCAGACCCCCTGAGAAAATTCATGTTTGAATTTTGGATGTGGAAATTTTCTTGTAGCGAACTATTTTTTTGAGTTTTCCCCAAGTTTTTGACACATTCTTCACAAGGGACTGCAGATTTCATGAAAATTTAGGTGTTTTTTGCTGAAATTTTCAAGTGGAGTCAACGATTGATCAAGTTCAAGATGTGGGTTCGAGTATATTTGATGTCATTGGGAAAGTGATTGGTGTTGCTATTGAAGTTGTGAAGCCTGGGATTGATGCTGCATTGCCTATTTTAAAGCAAGTAGCAGAGCAAGCTCAGAAGCTTGCTTCCCCTGCAATTTCAGAGGCATCTAAGAAAGCTCAAGAGGCAATTCAGAGCTCTGGCATTGACACAGGGCTTGTGATAACTACAGCTAAGGTTTAGTTATCTTTCCACTTAAAATTCTGCAATTTGTATCACTATCTGAGCTTATTGAGGTGCATATTATTACTTCACATAGATTGATTATTACTTTAACTGAATTTATATGGTGGCAGAAAGAGGCAAAATGAGGGAAAGGGGAAAGTCACCTGTATTTTGAACCATTTTTCTTGACTGACTTGGACTAAAGTATTCTCTTTTGATCTTCAGTTTAAGGAAATGAATGGATCAAGATGGTGGGATGGAGGGAATATTCAATATCTTGCAATGGACCATGACTTTGTCCATTTATTTTAGTATACAAGTAGACAACATGAATGTCCATTAATTTCCTTCTTAGACTCTGAAACAAATCTTAAGTTGCCTTTCTATTGGGATTTTAGTTAACATTTTGGTTTTTTTCCTTTCAATTAATACGTTTGATCCTACAATTGGTTTTAGAATCACTTACCTGGGTTCTCTAGCCTAATACATATCTGATATCTTTGGGAAAATGATGACATATCTGATACAGGCATCATTGTCCACTTCATTACTGTCATGAGATTATAACTAGAATTATCAGGAGTACTATGAAAACTGTTGTATATCTGTATCTAGAGGAAGAGCCAACATCAATGCCTAATACATTCAGCTTTTTTTGAGAAAATCTAATACATACTTCAGAACTGGAACTATGATTAATTGGTTGTCCAGTCTATTCGAACAATCTACTTACTTCCTGGATGGAAACTGTGCACCACAAAGCATTCTTGGTACAATGACCAAAGGCCAAAGAATCAATGGAAACTCAAACCAAATCAGATAACACTCTTCCAACAACTCGTGTTTAAATCACTTGCCAGTCTCTTTTAAAAGATGCAACTGGAACAACACTAACAGATTCATGGTTGCTACCACTTAACATTTCCATTCCTTGTTCCTTCAAAATAAAATTCATGGATGATTGTCTAAGTTAGCAAAAGTATGCGTTTAACATATAATCTGGAAAAAACATTGAGAATTCTAGATTGTCCTGTCTTATATGAACACCTGATTACTTGAAGCTTGTCCATGTATCTGTTGAGGTCTACCATTGAGATCAATCAATTTACTCTCCACTTTTATCTCCAACATGATTGTCATTTTCTAGCATTAGAACTAGACATGTACTGTGATGAGCAATTATAAGACAGTGTAAATTGTTTTAAGATAGTGTAAATTATAAGACAGCAATTGTATGAATTGGTTTCTAATCAAGAATCGCATAATCTATTATTTCTCTTATATATGTTTTAACTTTTGCTCATTTTACGTATGCTTTTGATAAGTAATTATACTGAAAATTTGTAATTTAGTCTTTTACCTTATGGCTACTTATGTACATTAGGAAAGAATATACTGCTTGTAGAAAAAATTCTTGCTAATTTTACAAATTTATAGAAATTAGGCTCATGGAATCTAAATTTGTTTTTTTTTTTTTGGCAGCACTTGCATGATCAACTGTAACTGAAGATTAAAACTTCACATGTAAGCTCCTTGTTTATTAGTAGGAATTGTACTTATATCTTTACAGATTCACCTCTTTTTTTTATTGTTTCATATCTAACTTATCTCTTTAAAGAAGGTACTAATTATTATCTCATACCTAGACAGCTTCGTGGCTGCAGCACAACCAAGAGGCAAGCAATTGAGCTTGACCGTTTGAGAAGTGAAATTGAAGAGCATCAAAGAAGGGTAGTTGCAGCAGATGAATGAGCTATACAAATTGCAGAAGAATTCAGTGCCCAAAAGGAGCTAATTAAGAACTTGCAAGAGCAGTAACTTGAAACTAGGGGGTTGTACGAGGAGTTAATTGCCCAAATGAAAGACTTGCGCAAATGACAGACTATTGAAAAGGTGAGGAGATAAATTCTTTGCATTTATTTTGGCTGAAACTCTATTTTGACTAATTCTTTTACTTCTTATCAAGTTACCAGTAGTTGGAGTCTTGTTTCGTATGACTATTGATTCAAATTCAGCAGTATAAGGTTGTAATAGAATATTTTCTTACTAAAGTCTACTCTAATGCATTTAATAGTTTATTTTCAATGCAGTCCAGCTTGATATTGATCATGAGGAGGCTGTTGGATATGATGATAGAGATGGTTGAAGTCTGGCATTGGTGTCGTGGTCTATGCTTTAGTTTAGAAATCTAGTACTCTTTTTTTGGGAAGGATATGTATTGGTCATTACTGCTTGAACTTATTATGTGGGCTTTGGGACCCAACATTTGTGGTTCACTTTTGTTTTGATGAATTTATAGACGTTTATGGCCATATATATGAATTTGTGGTTTCATTCTACGTTAATTTTGTCTTTTGTCAAATTGAATATTCTGCTATAATTTGTTGGAAATGCTATGGCAATGCTATATTCGTAATGGTCAATTTCAATTCTTCAAGACAAATGCTTTGAAGGTTGTCACTAACATGCAATTTCACTAAGTGACGACCATTTTTGTCACTGAATAATAGGACTGATTGTGACAAGCTCAGGTCGTCACTGTAGACTTCAAATTTGTGATGACTTTTACTACATTTATGACAAAAACATAGGTGAAATAGTGACAAGAATAGTCGTCACAAAATGATATCCATTAGTGACAACTTTGTCCTCGTCATTGAATAACAAGATTATGTGACGACTTTCAAAGGGCTGTCACATGGACCCATTTGTGATATAGAATCTGTGACAACCATGTGACAATGGAAAAAGTCGTCACTATATCTGTATAATGACGACTTTTTGGCTTTTAGTGATGACTTTTTGTTGTCACAAAAGGCCGATTTTCTTATAACAATGACCCACTAGTTGAACCAACGACCTATCGATCCGGTCTCTCACGGGATTCCTTACTAGGTCAAGTTTAATAGCTATAGTTAGTACTCCCTCCGTCCCAGAAAGTATGTCGCGTTTCGGGAATTGCAATTATTATCAACAGTGCAAGACTTTTAGATGATTTGCTTTTAAGTTCCGGCAATACCCCCTTGACTTTTAATGTATTCTATGTGGTTGAATGATAAAAGGGCCACAAGTTGTGATAAGACATGTGGGACCCAAAAGTATGAAATGTCTCCACACTACTTTAGAGGAAAGTGTCATGCACGAGTGTTATTTGCATTTCACGTCGGAGTCACGAACTATTAAGTGCATGTTGGTACTTGGTAAGTGAGAGGAAATGTGTCACATTGGGCCCACTAAATGATAAGAAAAGGCTGTCACATTGAAGGGTATGGAGCGGAAATGTGCGAAAGTTTTCATTGCCAAATTTAGTAAATGACAATTATTTTGGAACAGATAAAAAAGGAAAGTATGACAATATCAATAGGACGGAGGGAGTATATAATTTACAATAGAATTAGTATTATTTTTAAATAACAATTAAGGAAACATTAATTTTTCTTTTAAGCAAATGTATTATAACAAGCCAATTCTTAGTTTCCATGATTACTATAAAATAGCAAGGTAAAACTATATTATGTACATAGCAAATCAAGGACAAACAAAGGAATATTTAACTATTATACAAAAATAAGAAGTTTCAAACATAGTTTTGAATGTCTCACATTGATAGTGAATAGAATGGTATAGAGTCTAATTTTCGTATTTTACTTTATTTTTTACCTTTATTATGAAAAATATCTTATTCTTGTAAGTTATCATGAAATTTCATTTTACATTTAGTATGCTTTATTTAATATGATATATTTTTGCTATTATACCTTTGATGGTTTGCCCCTAAACTAAAATTTTAGGTCCATCATTGTGGTTTATAATTAAAAGAAAACTCACTAAAATATAAAAAATAGGCAAACAGAACAAATGATCGTGGAGACAAACCTTTCGGTGTAAAGTGACATTCGCATGAGAAAGACTAAACGAACTAAGATGTTCAACTTTAAATAGCTACAACTTTGTAATTATCGATCATGTATTACAATACTTAAAAGGGTTAAATGTACTAAACCCCCTGAACTTCACCTTCATTTATGCGTTACACTCCTGAACTCGTTAAATAAGCACTTTACCCCCTATTTGAGATTTTAAGGCAAAAATGCCCTTACTATTTTACTTTATTTTTTTTATTTATTCATTCCCTTATTTTTCCTTATCCACTACTTTCTTTTATTTTTGTATTTTTTTCTTCTTTCACTTATTTTTCATTTTCACTTCTCTTATGTTACTATTCTATTTTAGTTTTCTATTAGTATTACTAATTTGTATGTTTATTATAATATTGTAATTATTTTTTACTTATAATTTCATTCTTGTTTTATTTATTACCACTATTAAAAAATTCAAGATAAACTACATAGTGTAAAAATTTGATCTATGCCTATCATAATAAAAAAATGTATGTTATTAGCAATTTGACCGTTTAAAAAAATATTAGCAAACTAGAATTTTAAATTATTTAATATTTAAAAATACATCCCAAAAATGAAGTAACCAATATTTTTGTTTAAACACTATGTTAGCATGATTTGAATTTATTATTGTTGCTATTAAAAATTAATTTATTCTAAACTCTAGCATATTGATTTAAGTAATGTATAAAATAGTTTATGTGCATAGATGACATATATTTTGTTATAGCATAAACTTTATGATAATTAATATTTCTAATAACAAAAAGTAGAAAAACTAGAAATAAATAAAAATATATGGATAATAACAGCAAAAAGAACAAAGTAGTTGATAACATAAGAGAAAAAAGTAAAATTAAAAAAATATAAAGGAAAAGGACAAATAGGAAAAGGGCAAAAAAGGAGAAAAAATAAATAAAATAATAATTAATATGGAATGGGAACTTTTGTCCTAAAACACAAAAACCTGGTGGAGGGGAGGGAGACGCAGGGACAAAGTATTTATTTATTGAGTTAAGAGGAATAAAGTGTAACTAAGGGTAATGTTTAGGGGGTCTAGTGCTTTCAACCCTACTTAACATAACGTAAACTCAAAAAAAATAAGTGTTACCTGCAAATATTCAACCTTGCAAGTTTATCTAGTATATGCTAAGTAGAAATAGCATAATCTTTATACAACATCAAAATAGTATATAATATTGAAGGTATGAATGATACTTCCTTCATCTCGTTGATAGTATCAAAATTCCCTTTTCCATATGTCCCATAACAGTATTCTTTACTGTTATTGGCATAATAGTGTTCTTTACCATTATTGGCAAACAATATATCATTGATTTTTTTTCAATAAAAATATTTTATTAATCTGAAAGTTAAGGAGTACATGGCAATGAAACTCTTAAGTAAGGGAAATTCAATCTATCTAAACTAACGAAGCCTCTAACTAGGCCCGGCAAATTATGAGGGCGGTAAGTAGCAGATGAGTGGGTTGTACTTGTGTGTCGAGCAAGGGCATCAACTGCAGAGTTGACCTCTCAATAATTGTGTACAAGATGAAATTGCCCATTCCGAACTATACTCCAGACTTGCCGAACAAAAGCATCGATGCGCCATGGACAGTGAGTTTGCCGATGGACCGCGTCTAGCAGGGGCTTAGAGTCCATTTCAACCACCACCCTGATGTGGCCAAGCGTGACGCAAGTCTTGAGACCCTCCAACCTCGCCTGTACCTCGCCTGCAGACTGGTGCTATGGCCATAATACATGGAAAATGCAGTGATCACTTGACCCAAGTAGTCTCGAAGAATTCCTTCCCCTCCTGAGTGCCCCGGATTTTCCCAGCAAGGAGCCATCCACATTTAGCTTGAGGAAAGGAAATGCTGGTGCCTGCCAATTTAGGGTAGTAACTTTGGGGGGAACCCGCGGTTTGAGAAAAGGAACCACACCCGTTGAAAGGAGCCTCGTGTCGGCTGCCGTCCTATGTGTGAAAGGGCTTGTGAAACCCCAACTTTTAGGATACTATTGTTGTTTAGTCTCAAAGAGGATATTACGATTTCTTTAGTTTATTTTTAGTTTAAGACATTGTTTTGTTTTAAAGACTAGAAACCCTAAATTCTAGAAACCCTAAAATCTAATCAAAACCCTAGTTTTCACTTGTGACTAGCCGGTTTTCTTAAATTTCTCATATTTCAACCGAAACCCTAATTGTAATCTATGCAATTGTAAAACCCCTCATATTTTCTTAAAATTTCCTTTAATTTGGAATTTATTACTTTAAAATAACTTTAGTATACATTCACTTCCCCAATAGCTACAACTAATCATAAACTCAACGTTTTCCTTTTTACTTTCATCGTTACGATAAATTAGGATTTTCGCGTCTTTTCGTAGTATGATTATTCGGTACGGAGTGTGTATCCAATTTGGTGATTAAGAGTGAGTTCTAGATGATGTTAAGAGTATGATTAGAAGTGAAAATAATAAGTTAGTGAATTATAAGTTAAAACCCTGGTATACGCGATTTAAGGAAAAACGGGTTGAACCGACGGGTACCGTTTGTTACCGGATGAGTGCACCACTTGAACACTACTTTACTACCTTAATCTTCTCACTTTTATTTTAGCAAAATTGGCCCTAAATATCTTCTTCAAAGGGCAGAAATTTTTGACCAGAAAATCAAGGAAAAAGAAACAAAATTGACTTCCAATCAAAAGGTGACACTTGTCCAATTTTGACCCAAATGAATTCCTGTCATCTTAACCTTCTTGAAGCTTCAAATCAGCCACCATTTCTGCACATTCCAGCCGTGAGAGTGAGAGAGAAAAGAGGGAAGAAATCATTCAATTTCCATCTTGATTTTAGCTTAATTTGAGTGAAAATCCAAAAAACTAAACCGATTAAACCCTTCCTTTAGTACCTAAGAGCCTTTGTGTAGGGAAACTTTGGAGGGAAAGGTTGTGGTTCTCTCTTGCTAGCAGCTTTGGTGAGTTATTATGGTTTCCTATCCTTTCCTTGCACTTAATCTTGTTAAAGTTTAATTAGAAACTCTTAATCTTGCCTTATGACGGTAAATTTGTTAGCTTGGAATGATGTGTTGGAATATGGAGTTAGGGTTTGTATTCTCAGCCTTGATTATGGTTATCTACCTCTTAATGGATGTTATTAAGTTAGTAATTGATGGGTTGATGATAGAATACTTGTTGGATATGAAATTCTAGAGGAAAAGTTCAAATTCCAGATTTGAGTTTCATTATTCCCCTGTTCTGTCCGATTCTAGTTCACCATGTTAGAGGTCGAATTAGGCTTAGTATAAAACATGAAAGTTGTATACAATAA